CACGGCCCACCCCCCCCCAGCCCCAGGCTGATCGTCTGTCAGCATCGCACTCTGCCCTTCACTTCTAGTCCCTCGAGAGGCAATGAGCAGAGAGCTCTGAACAGCCCCCTCCCAGGGACAGCACGCTGCACAGAGATGCAATGCATGGTGCGCGTGGGTGCGGCTCATTTGAGGAAAAAAGCACTCGGTAAAAAGCTGACCTCATACAAGAAGTCCATCTGAGGGTGATCATCACACACACACACAGAAAGAACTGCTGTGTCTAACGTCACGGCATTCCAAACGCACTCCATACGCACGGCTGTTCTTCTCGTTATCAGTACCTCCATTGTGTTAGTAACACTTCTCTGGGCTTGAGACAGGACAGAAACAAGTAAAAAATAACAATAAACTAGCCCGGTCGGCGTGGCTCAGTAGTTCAGCATCAACCCATGAACCAGAAGGTCATGGTTTGGATGAGCAATGAGCAGAGAGCTCCGAGCAGCCCCCTCCCAGGGACAGCATGCTGCACAGAGACGCAATGTGTGGTGCGCGTGGGTGCGGGTCATTTGAGGAAAAAAGCACTCGGTAAAAAGCTGACCTCATACAAGAAGTCCGTCTGAGGGTGATCACTCACACACACACACACAAAAAGAACTGCTGCATCTAACAGCTGGGCCATGCTCCCAACGTCCTGGCATTCCAAACGCACTCCACACGCACGGCTGTTCTTCTCATTATCAGTCCCTCCGTTCTGTGTTAGTAACACTTCTCTGGGCTTGAGAGAGGACAGAAACGAGTAAAAAATAACAATAAACTAGCCCGGTCGGCGTGGCTCAGTAGTTGGGCATCGACCTATGAACCAGGAGGTCACGGTTTGATTCCCAGTCAGGGCACATGCCCGGGTTGCCCAGTGTGGGGCGTTCAGGAGGCAGCCGATCAATGCTTCTCTCTCATCATTGATGTTTCTATCTCTCTCTCCCTCTCCCTTCCTCTCTGACATCAATTAAAATGTATTTTTTAAAACAATGACCTGTCCCACTTTTAAGAGACTAGAAGCAGAGCAGGAAGAGGGCTGGTCACTAATGTGATGAAACAGCTACTTCCCGGGTTTCGGGCCAGTGCACACAC